ACCAATGAAATCTCCTAAAGCCAAATGTATGCATACTCAGCAATTCCCTTCCTAGGAATTCCCAACAGAAGGTGCACATACATTAATTCACCAAGTACACATACAGTCATCCTTTGTTATCTGACAGGGATTGGTTTCAGGATGGCATTATATAAAATGGTATAAATTTGCAATACAATCCACACACATCTTTCCTTATGTACTGTAAGTCTCCTCTAATTACTTACAATACCTAATACAATGTAAATGTGATGTAACAGTTATTATCCTGTATTGTTTAGGGAATAATGATAGAAAAAAAAGCCTGTATATATTCAGTATAGACACAATATTTTTTCAAATATTTCCTGATATTTTAAAATATTTGGTTGAATTTATGGATATAAAACTGCCTGGATATGGATGGCTAACTGTACTTTGATATCCACCCAAGCAATATTTATAGTAGCCAAAAGGGTATCAGTCTGCTCAGAGGCATGGCAAAGGAACAATCCACTTCTGAGCATATTCAGGTTTTTAGAAGAATTTCATTCCTTACAGTTTTAGATACAAAGTCTTCATTTTCTTGTGGTTGCTGTGCAGGGACCACTTGCAGCTCCTGGAAGCCACCTTTGTGTGCTCACAGCATAGCTTCCTATAGCTATGATATTTATAATAGCCAAAACCCAAGTGAGCGGGAGGGGCCTTATGGATACTGGTACTATTGTTTCCAGTCTGGGTTTTGATTACACAAGTGTGCTCATTTTGTGAAAATATTAAGCTGCTCTCTTTCCTAAATTTAATTATATTATACATCCATAAAAGTAAAATGATCAGAAATTAATTTTATTACTTGATAGCACAATTATTAGTTGATTATTTTTAGAATTTAAAAATTCTCACATATAAAAATGATTAGGTGATTTTACCTGTGTAATCCCAAGTATTAATTCTCTAAAGGCAAAATAGACCATAATAAAACAAAAACTCGTAATCATTTTTAAACCTTAACTCCTGACTTTTTTAAAAAACTTAACTCTTAGTTTTTGTCCAATCCTCAGTACATTGCTTCAATAAATAATTTGCTTCTGTTTCAAGAGAATTGAAATTTGTAGTGTATTGAGAATTTAAAGGTGGTCTTTATAATCATGCCTTTGCCATTATTGTAAGCTCACACCCTCTAGACCTACGTATCTTCTCTGGAGGATGTAGGGTTTTGGGCCACAGTCAGGTTATATTAATAAAAAAAAATTTAGCCTCCACAAACCTTTCAAAAAGTAAGCATAGATATTTTTACTCTATTTTAAAGGGAAAATAAATGTTTGCTAATGGTCTTATAAAAATAAAATCATTAAATAATTGATAAGTATTGTTCTAATATATCATATACAAGACATTATGGTAGATATTGGGGCTATAAAATTATATGTCACTTTTCCTTTTGGAAGATTTATGATCCATGTGAAGAAGTATGTACACATACACTGTTTGATAACATAGTTCATATGTTGATATAAAATAAATGGTAAATATTCAAAAAGGTGAAAGGGAAAAAAAGAAAGGGGAAATATCAGAATTATAAAATGGTCCTTTAAGGGAAGAGCCCTTGATTTTCAGGGTGGCTTCCTGGAGGCAGCATGATATAGAAAAACAATTTATTTTCTTTCAAGCAAATTTAACTTTAAATTTGAGCTCTTTCATTTGCAGCTATGGAAAAAGTCACTTAAACTCTTTAAGATTTATGTCTTTAAGATTTTTTATCTGAGACTGAGGGTTAAAGCCAATAATTTCTACCACAAGGTTTCTGAGGTTCAAATGAGATAATTTAGCAAAGTAGCAGATTCTCTTGGTCCACATTGCTGCCCCTTCATGTGGATGAATAAATGACCATGGAGACTCTTTGGTATCTGACACACTATTGCATGTTCAGAAGGGAGTTGAGAAGCTTCGAGGGGTCACAGCATGAAAGAAGAAGGACATATGGGAATTTAAAATGCAAAGCAAATAACAGAAGTCAGCAAAAGTGCAGGGTGATACACTGTAAGCTAAATAGGACAGTGGGAAATCTGAAATTATAAAACTGAGAAAGTTTTGTCAAAGGCTGGCAAGCACAGTAATGTGCTGGTTATGGTGAGGACACCAGAAATACAGATAGTATCATCCCTGAATATTTAGCTTTCCAGTGGAAAACAGCTACACTCATCTTTACACACCATGACACAGGACACAAGTGATACTAACTTCTGTCCTGCAGGCTTTACCATTTGGCCCCATAAGAGTTTGGAGAAATCTTATTTTGTTCCATGACATCATGGAAGGTTCAGAGTAGGTATGAAGCATGGGTAGCACATGGATCCAAAGGAGGAAAAGAGGGTTTAGTCCAGAAAGGTGTTCTGCAATGCAGTCTAACCTGCAGAAATATCTCATCATAGACTTATCGTTGCTTAAATGTGTATCAAGGCAAAGATCACTGGAATTGTTTAAGGGGTACTACCTGAGAGGTTATGAAGAGTTTAGGAGACAGATGATTCCCATTCCTCCCAGATAGAAATTGCAGATTGGAAGTTGTGATGCAAAATCAATTCTTCTCTCCAAGGAAGAATGAGGGAGAAAGAGGCCTTATTATCTGATTTTACCCCCGAATACAACCACCTTGTCATTTTAAAGTAAATCTACTGAAATGATTCATATTTGATGGGATAGTCTCTACACTTTCTTGCTTGCATTCCATTATCAAAACTGTGAATCCCTCATTAAGCTGTTTGTTCCTATGGAAAAAAATAAAAAACTTCTCAGAGAATTAATAAGTTAAGCCATTATCAGTCTAAGTGTGATTAGGTTTCCAAGATCAGATCTAAGGGCATATTTTCTTTTTCTTCTCTTTTTTCATATTTTTATTGGTGCGTTATAGTTGTACACATTGATGGGGTTTGTTGTTACATATTCGTACATGCACAAAGCATAACAATATAATTTGGCCATTATCATTCCCCAGAACTTTCCCCCTCCCTCCTCCCTGCCCTCCACTCCTGGTCCTTTTCCGCTAGGGATCTCTCTCTCTCTCTCTCTCTCTCTCTCTCTCTCTCTCTCTCTCTCTCTCTCAGTAGATCCACCCTTAAGGACACATATTCAAAGAAGGAGAAAAAGGGGAGATAAACCAACTAATAGCAATATCTGCTTGCCCTCGGAAACTGTGCCTGGCAGAGAGAGGGAGTCACAGGTACATCTGCATCAGCTGCAACCCTTTACACTCAAGAATTAAGGATCCTTTTTCATCACACCCCAAAGCCCACAAACCCTGCAAACACCTCCCTTGGTTTGCTGTGTTACTTAAGGACTCCAGTACATAAAGGTTCCCAATAACTGTCAGTTATTAATAATCACTGTTACATCTTATAATGGCGCCTGGGTCCTGGGTCTTGCCAAGTTTAGAGAAGGGAGAAACAAGGGGAATCTGCTTGTTTATGGTGTTGGAAGCGCTCTGGAAACAGCCTCCAGGCCCTGGGCCAGAAGGACAGGGACTGCTCCCCCGGCTGGCGCCTTCTCTTCCCTGCTCCACCCACGCTTCCCGGGAGCAACAAGTTCTCTTCTGTGAGACCCGCCCGCGCGCCACTGGCAGACCCGGTGCCTCCTCCAAGACCGCTGTCAAATTCTTGCCAAACACACCTGGGGGGGGAAATCGCGGGTGCCTACGCCCTACGGAGGCGGGAGAGCCCACAGCACCTGAAAGAGCCCTGGCTGTGGTTGGGAGAAGGCGGGAGGTGTTAAGAGTCGGGACAGAAGATACGCTTAAGGAGCCCCAGTCCGCGCGGCCCTTCAAGGCAAAAGCAACTACTAAGAGCATCCCCTGCCTTATCTCAGGCATCTGTCCTCCTGGGATCTGGAGCGAAGAGATAGTGCCTGCAATCTTACTGACCCACACCCAGTCCTCTGGTAGCCAAACTGCACCTCTCTGTTGTCCTTCGGGTTCCCCTTGCCCCAGCTTATTCCCTCATCCTCACTCCACCCCGACTGGCGGCACTTCCTCTATGGACACTCGAGATCACGGACACAGATTATTTAGCGGGAAGAGCAAGCCAGTCAGCTCCGGTCCCTGCCCAGAGCTCTCCTCTCTCCTTTCAAAATGGGCACCCGGAGTCCCCTAAGGAGTGCGGAGGCGTCCAGGCTGGGAGCCTCATCCAGTTTCCTAAACAATTGAACTCTGACAACTTCTGGGAATGGGGATCCCCGCGCTTTCCTGGGAAAGCCAGGCTGGCGGCCCACATATTAGGAGAGGGCACCTCGACTACTCAGAAGGGAATTCCCCTCAAAATCTACTTCTGCTCCACTCCTACACCAGGAGTTGGGAACTAGGAAGCCAAACAGGAGTGCGCTCCGCGGGGTGGGTGGTCGTGGGGGCGGGTGGAGGGGGTAGGGGGCGACAGCGTATAAGTTCTGCCCGGATTTTGGAAAGAGACCAGTTCATGGGTTCAAGTCTCCTAGAGTCAGGAAGCTCTTGTTCCCAGAAGGGCAGGGACCGAAGGCACTGGGATGAAAGTCCTCCAGGCGCAGGGTCAGGGAGCGGCGAGGTAAATTGCAATGTGCAATCTTTGATCCCTGTCGGTGGGAAACTATTTTTTCTTCGGGAGATGGGGGTGGGGGAGACGTCCCTGGCAAAGCAGTCAACATCAAGCCCAGCTGTTCAGGGCTTCATCTCTTCGTCCCCATGCAATCTCGAGAACTTGGTACCTCGGACAGCAGCCCGGGCGCATGGCATCCTTTGCGATGTGTTATCCTATTTTCACTATCAAGTCAAAGAGCAATAAATTATTTTGATGACCTTACTACTACAGATGAAGGACATTTTAATTACATAACCCGTAAAAAAAAAAAAAAACCACCGGAGGCAATGTCGTGTTAAAGAGCCGATGGCAGAATATCTGCATCGCATGAAAAAGAGAGCAAACTTGCAAATCTGCAAGGAGATTGCGCAGGGCTCCTCTCGTTTTGAAACAACATGCGAAATGCATGGGAAATCTTACCTTTCGGACTCCAAAGCCGTGTTCTGCTGCAACTTGGCGAGCTTCTTCCTCTCCCCCTTTATGCAACTCCACAAGAAAATGATTCGTGAAGACTGGTTTCTCGGCAGATGCAAAAACCATGACACAGAAGAGGAGCCCAGCGGCTGCCTTCCACTGGGAGCCACAACCACCCTTCATCCTTCTTTGGGAGTGAAAAGTGGGGTTAGAAGGAGCGCAGGCTGGTGGAGCAGGGGACCCGAAGGGGAAGGTGCAAATAAAAAATAGATATGTAGTTTTTTGTTGTTGTTTAAAAAAATCTTTGTATGGAGAAAGACTGAATTGGGGCTTGGAAAGCAGCAAATCAGTGTGTGTTCTCCTCCAGCATCTGGCTGGCGGGGAGGCTGTGTAGTCAAGCGGCCCGGCTTGCTGGCAGGGGTGCGAATGTGGGGAGCTGTGTGTACCGGAGAGAAAGAGCGAGTGTATGTCTGTGCTTGATGCTAAATCTGCATTTTCAGCTCCTCCTCGGCTTCAGTTCCACTGGGGCTGGAGTCGAGCACCAGCCTGGGTGACGTGCGCCCGACAGCGGCCAATGAAGGCCGGAGTAGCAGCGGGCCCCGCCCTGGGCCGCCCCGAGCCCGCCCCCGCCCGCCCCCGGCCCGGCCGGTCCGCCTCCGCCGGCTGGGGGCGCAGCGCCTGGAGTCCGTGCCCCCACCCCTTTCAGCACCCGGAGAGCTCCCCCATCTCTGCCTGGGCGGCCACGCACCCAGGAAAATCCCCCCAGCTGTAATCAGGCCGGCGGCGCCGGAGTGATGTCATTGTTTGTGGAAATCTGTAAGGATCAAGGAAGGGAATTACGGGGTGTACCGCTCACGGAGGCCCCGAGGGGAGCGGGGCACCGGCCTCTCCCTATTCCAGTTCCTTGCTTATTTTCCTCTACAAAACAACTCTCTTACACACACACATACACACACACACACGCACGCACGCACGCGCGCGCACACACACACACTCACACAGTCCAGGCGTGCTTGCTTTCCCTTTCCCCAATAACAAAGCAAATATGAACCTCCTCCCGCCACTTTGGGCAAACCCCAAGGGAGGTTTGCTCCGCTTCCAGGCTCCCCTTCTAGGGATGACCCAAGGGGGCAAGAGTGCAGGAACCGTCTCTGGGCTGTTTTTGTTCTTCTGTAGGCTCCCGACAGGTCGGGAACTAAGCAGCTGGGAAGCCAGCAGGAGACCCGGCTCTACCCCGTCCGCGACAGCGATTAGAAGATTCCCCTGCAGGAGTCCGGGCTGCACCTCCAAGATTGCTTTCAGTAGAGACGCGGCCAGACGGACTCACCTGGAGGCACATTCTCAGACTTGGGAGACTTTCCTCCACCCAAGGACAGAGGGTGTGCTTTTGAGAAGGTGTAGCCACGGATTCCAGGCGCTGGGTCAAGACTTCCTCGCTGAGCTTCTTCAGCTGGAGGCAAATTCGAACCAAGTGGCAGGGGGTCAACTAAATTATCCAGTTAAGAAATAGGCACTTATACTCGTGTTTGTTAATTACTAACTACTGATTTCCCTTTTTTACCTGAGTAGGTGGAAGTAGACATGCTCTGCCTGTAATGAAATGAGGACGATTGTTTTTAAGCAACTCAAATATTGTTGAGTTACAGAGTATTTACACTCATCTTGTTTATCATTTAGCAAAGTTCAAAATCCTGCCTTATGACAGAGACTCTTTCTTAGGTGCTTGCTTGAGTGTATGTAGAAGAGAGGCAATGTAGAAGTGGAGGGAGATGTTGGGAATTACATCACACACACACACGCACACGCTTCCTTTGCACTTTAACACAAAGTCACCATCTATTGCAGAGGAAAGCATTCTTGGTAGAAATGAATACATTCTCAATGCCATGGGTCATACTGTCATCAAAGATCTGGTTGTAGTCATAGTTGGTTACCCCAGAGCACTTGCAAACATTGCCAAAAAAAGAAAAAAAAGGAAAAAAGAATTTTAAAAAGTGGGCCATGATGAAGGTTTTGATTAAAATGTAAGAAGTCTATAAGTTATTATTGTTATGATTACTTAAATTCCTTTAAGAACTATCATGAAATGCTGAGAAGTTTGTATTGTAAGACATGTGCTAAAGATGAAAGGAGCCAGAGTGAAAATAAGGTTTCTTGGAAAGTGTTAATTAAAGGGAGCATATCAGCTCTGGATGTCTGGGTTTGTTGCACAGGAACTTATTTCTGCCAAAGTTCTTTGTTTTTCTTTTTCTTGATCCCTATTTTGCTGTATAGCTTATCCCCTCAGTTATTTGTTTGACTACAACACAAGGTTTTCTTAGTTAAACACTTTCAACATTTTTTTCTCTCTCTTCCATATATATTTCAAATCAAAGTACCCAGTTGGTAGAAAGCAATACCGCATGGGTCTTCCTGTGCTGTATTGTCATTTGAGAAAAAATGGCATCAAATGCAAAAATTACATTAGATAGACCCACATTCATAGAGAGCATTTGAAAAGCAGTAACGGAGATAAAATCCAAGTCTTTAGAAAAATAGATCTGAAGAGAATCAAATAAGTCAATTTAGAAGATTATGGGTGTCACAAAATAGCACTGCTAATGTAGCTAAATCTCTCTGAAAATGAACATGAAATTACTGTCTATTTACAGATATTTATTAATTTTTCTGAAACCACAGAGCAATAATACTTCATTTCCTAAATAAATTCCAAACATGAAATGCTAGTAAGTATTGAATTTTTATATTCCTATGGTTTGAGTATGGTTTGTCTTCTACGAATGTAGAAATTTTATGGCTGGTGTAGAGGTGTCAAGAGGTAGGGCCTATAAGTAGTGATTGGATCTTGAGAGTTCTTCCCCTCATGAATGCAATAATTCACTCATGGATTAAGAGGTTAATGAGTTACCCAGGGAGTGGTTTTGCTATAAAACAGAGCTTGGTCTGTCTCATCATGGGATGTTCTTTCTCCATTATGTTTGATGCAGCAAGAAGTCTCCAGATGCCAGCATCATTCTCTTGGACTTCCCCAAGGCTAAATTACCTCTATTCTTTATAAATTATCTGGCCTCAGGTATTTTGTTATAGCAACAGAAAATGAACTAAGACATACATCTACATTTTGAGTAATTAAAGCCATATAAAATTGGGTACAAACAAAATAAAACCTGAATGACTGATTAAAATAAGTTATGTTCAATGGTTTATGTAGAATGCCATTCATAATAATATTTACAGAACAGCAAAAGAAATCAAAAGAGAATTTTCTTTGATGCAAATGCTAAATTTTTATTGTACAACAAGGCAAGCCAGTAGAGGAAATGTATCGATACATTATATTGATATTTGAGATGTGTTATTGTTGAATAGAAAGTGACTCTTAAAAGTTCAGGTGTGAGACAATGTAAGAACATTCAGAGGTGAAATGATTTGGTTATGAGAGGTATAACCTAAGCAATGGCTTAATTGATTAATATGGATTATATGGGTGTTAACTATTGGCAGGTAGAATGTGGCTGAAGGAGGTAGGTCACTGGGGGCATGCTTTGGGGTTTATATTTTGTCTGTGGTAAAAAGAGCTCTCTTTGCCTCCTAATTGCCATGTCCTGAGCTGCTTTCCTCTGCCATACTCTACAGCCATGATGTTCTGCCTCCCCTTGGTCCCAGAACTACAGAGTCAGCCGTCTATGGACTGAGACATCTGAAACAAAGAGCCAAATATTTCCTCCTCTAATTGTTCCTGTCAGGTCTTTTGGTCACAGCTATGCAAAAGCTGGCTAAAACAAAATGCAAGTACAGATCCAGATGTGCACACATGGTGTTCTTTCAGATAACTATTTCTCAAGCTCCTTTTTGTAATACCAATAGTGATTTTGGAGAAAGAAGGTAAATGGGAAGGATAATGGCAGTGGCATGTTTGAGAACTGACCCAGCAGCTGGTTGCCAGGAACTTCTATTTCAGACTTTGCTGTTATTGGCTGTATATGCCACTTGAGTTAAACTATTGCACCTCTCAAAAATCTGTATTTCTTCATCTGTAAAAAGATACTTTTGGGCGGGCATTGTGGCACATGCCTGTAATCCTAGCAACTCTGGAGGCCGAGGCAGGAGGATTTCAAGTTAGAGGCAAGCCTTAGTAAGTGAGACCCTAAGCAATTCAGCAAAATCCTGTCTCAAAATAAAAAGTAAAAAGGGATGGGGGTGTTGCTCAGTGGTTAAGTGCCCCTGAGGTCCAATCCCCAGTAGTAAAAACACAAACAAAACAAAACAAAACAAAACAACTATTGAATTAAAACCTTCCAGATCCAAAAATATAAACTTTAAAGAGATGCTAAAGCACAGTGTATAATGTAGAAAGCATATTAGTAGCTTGAGAAATGTTGAGGACAATCATACTTTTTGATAATATTATGGTGGCCAAAAGATTTACTTCTTTTTATAAACTTCCCCCAAACTTTACTGATTTTAAGAAAATAACTGGCACAAAGAGATTGACATTCGGTACCAGGTATGAAAGTCACCAACATCTGGAGGTACTTTTAATATATCTACTGTTGTATTTATAGCAATAACATGAAGTATTTGGTTATGATTAAGATGTGCCACAGAACCCCACTGTCTCTTTGCAGATGCCTTGTAAATACCAGAATATTCATCTCATGACTTCATAACTGTAAATCAATAGTTCTCTGAGTGATTAAAAAAATTCAACCCATTTAAAGCACTAATAGGATTCTCCCATTCAGATGTACTTCTAGAAGGAAGACTTTGGACCCACAGAGCAGCAGATCAAAGATAACCTACCAGGGGGTGGGGGAACAGAATGAGCTGGAAAGAGTCCTAGGGGAGGCTATTGGACCTTTAAATATTCTTTGGATCATTATAATAAAAATCTCATTTTTTTTCTGTTTAAATATGACCTTGTTAAAAATCGGATTGTGCTTCTCCATCTCTGCTACATTCACTCTGAGCACATTGAATGTGGTAGTGATACTTTCATTGGGCAGTAACAATTCTCTATCATATTTACTACCAAGTTTTTCAAGCAGATTCTTCTTACAGATCCTGTCCTCCCTGTTCTCTCAACCCCAGCCCATACTCAAGGTTTCTGAAACACTGATACCTCTTGTAATGGTTTAGATGTGTAGTGACTCCCAAGAGCTCATATGTAAGATAATGCAAAGAAATTCAGAGGGGGAATGATTAGGTTATGAGAGGTATGACCTAATCAGTGGATTAATCCACTCACAGGGATTAACTGGGTGCTAATTAATGGCAGGAAGGGTGTGGCTGGAGGAGATAGCTTACTGGGGACCTGCATGTAGGGTATATATTCAGTCCCTGGTGGGTGGTGCTTTCTGATTGCCATATCCTAAACTGCTTTTCTTTTCCACACCCTTCTGCCAAAATACGTTGCCTTACCTTGTGCTCAGAACTATGGAGTCAGACATCTATGGACTGAGACCTCTGAAACATGAGCCCCAAATAACTTTTCCTCCTCTCATTGTTTATGTCAGGTCTTTTGGTCACAGTGGGAAAAAAAAAAA